ACGATCGGCCAATAGTCCCACCCGAACCATACTTACCATTTATGGTTTTTGATGTCCTCAACCCCGTCCCTCAGGCAACCGTATCTCTTGAGTCTATCCCGGACTAGCAGGTGTTTCACCAAGTCTTTAGCTTTGCTATCGAAATGCCTGGGGAACTCTACTCGACCTATTAAAACCTGATGAGAGAGGATTACCGCAATCCACCCAGGTTCGAATCCCACGACCTACCTTTCGGTATATTCCAAGTGGATTGTTATCATTAAAAGGCACATACCCGGCGATCATCTCAAAAATAAGAACTCCCAATGCCCACCAATCCACAGCTTTACCATGCCCTGCCGAAAGAATCTTCATAGTGCGGTGTGCGCTAATACAACCGATGACGATCAAATGCTCAAAAGCGATAACAACGATGATACCATTGTGTATCACACTAGCGATATTAATGTTATCATTAAAAGTATTCTTGGTACTATAAGCACATTATTGATTTGCATTACATTCGCTACTGCTATCAAGCACCAGTACTATTAATGCTAAGATCAATATTGGAGTTTCACCCGTTTTACGTGAAGCGGCGTAGTTCTCTGTGAAAAACGCGACATTCACGATACGCAGTAGTCGTGAAGTATATATTTTTTACTAATGTTTTTCATATCACTAGGGTGAAACTACATTAACACTGTATCAATATAGGTGTATTTCTGTGCTACACAGTGTGTCAACTACAGTACTACTGGTATAGTACTATCACTAGGATACCAGCACTGATAAAAGAATCTTCGTAGTGCGGTCAGTGTGGGAATATATGCACATGGTCAGCTACACGTGCTGCTAGGAATATGGAAATTCTGAGAAATTATCGTTGATTTTTGATACACTTTTACCCAGAGTCGTGTGAATTTTTCATACTATAGTGAGAAAATTTACAAGCTCGGTTGAGGAAACCAAACGTATGACAAACACTGAATGCGGTGAGCGCTAATACAACCCATCGCGAATCAATGAGCCGAGAGCAACAACAGCAGCGATACCTTGATACTGGATGGTCTCCGGTGCCATATACTCCGGTGTACCGCACAGAGTCCATGTTCGATCAGTAACCACTTTCGCGAAACCAAAATCGGCAATTTTGATATGTCCTGATAATGATGATCTCGATGAGTTCACAATTTCTTACCTTCAAAGTCTATAAGAAGATTCTCAGGTTTCAAATCGCGGTATACTATGTCCAAACCTGAAACGTGATCCATCCCAAAACGCGACTTGGATAGCAGTAAAAATGACCTCAAGCACATATGAACATCAAAATCAGCTGGTGAATTCAAGTTCAAATATAATGGAGTTTCACCCGTTTCACGTGAAGTGACGTAATACTCTGTGAAAAACGCGATATTCGCGACATGCAATAGCCGTAAAATATATTTTTCACTAGTGTTTTTCATATCCGATGATCAACGCAGTACAACCTCGCCCTTGCCACCAAGCCTACTGTGCAAGTATTCGAAGGCCAGCACTATCTCAGCTGCATAGAATCTAGCATCCTCATTGAGTAAACGTTCGCCTTTCCGAATTAGCGAGAACAGTTCGCCACCATTCACGTACCCCATCAGCATAAACAATCTTATTTCATCACGAAATGTGGTGAAGCTGAAAAATTCTCGCGCGCGCCACCGTAAGGCAGTGCCCACAGATTGACAATAAACGGATGACTGAGTCTCTGCAGAATTTCCCTTTCCGCCCGCACATGTCCAACCTGCGTTAAAACAGCAACTCCTGTCACAAACCTGGAATACCCACTTGTTTTAAGCGTATAACTTCCGACTTGTAAAGAATCTTCAACGCGAAAGGCGTTCGATCTTCGGCACCCTTTATTTTCACGACCCGAACTCGACCAAAATGACCTGTACTACAGCCCGTCGTGAATGCGCATCACTATGAAGCTGTCACCAGTCCCCACAATATCCCCCAAGTCGAAGTCATCGAGGCAGTACTGCGGCTTTAGAGAGACCAGTGCACGCTGTTGAGCAACTCGATTCATATACTCCTTCTGAAAACAATGGAGTTTCACCCCAGTGATATGAGAAACACTATCGAAAAACATATCACCACGAATATCCCGTTTTTCACCGAGTATTACGACGCCACTTCACGTAAAACGAGTCGAAATCCACTAACCTACACGTTCAACACTGCTACTCTCTCTAGCATGGTAGTCGGTGGAAGAAGCATCGGTATCTGCACAGAAGCCACGCGTTTCCTCCAATATAGTGTAAATACAAGGCGTGCTACACAGTGTGAACGGCAGATAGTACGCGTGTACCAGAGATTCACAGCATCATTAACTACAACTGCCGGCTCTGATAACTCTACGAGAAATTCCCATAATTTGATGAGAACACATTCAACCTTTGGGTGTGTTCTCAACAGATCCCATAAGGCAGCATCTACAGCATGGTCACTTCTAGTGTGGCGTTT